CAAGCCTTCAATCTCATCCCAAGGGCGGAGATGTGGCGTGCCTTGATCTGGGCTCGTGTTCCGGAACCGCTTGTCCAGGCCATTATGCAGCTCCATGAGTGCAGCAGCTACCAGTTGGGCCGCTCAGGTGATGACGACAAGGTGGCACACATTGCTGTGACCCGAGGGGTGAAGCAGGGTGATGTCATTGCCCCGGCACTATGGGTTGTATACTCCTGCTACGTCTGTTTTCGCACTGATGAACTCTTAGGTGCGTCGTGGTGCGATGAACATGCTACTATCTTTGCTGATGATCATCACTTCAGTTGGACACTTAGATCCTTTCACGATGGGGAGATCATGTGTGATCAGATTCAGGCCATCTTCACTCTGTATGCCTCGCTTGGTCTCTGTATCAACCCTGAAAAGTGTCACATGTTGGTTGCGGTCAAAGGCCTGGAGGCGGCGCGATGGCTTCGCAAGGGTAGGGTCAAGCACAAGACTGATGCAGGTCACTGTGTGCGACACAACATGTACACCAAAGCGTCCCTGCCTCTGCATCAGCAATTCCCGTATCTAGGGGTCGTACTGTCGTACGGCAACTACGAGGACCTTACCCTCAAGCATCGTTTGCAACAGGCCAACCTGCATCGCAACCGTTTGGCGAGAATCTTGCAAGGACGGGGGGGCTTATCGCTTGGTCGCCGACTGCGTATCTGGCATGTGTGCGTCCAGACTGCCCAACTTTACGGGTTGTTGGCCGTTGGTATAACGACTTGGGGGTATCAACAACTGCACATCCAAACGCTGAAACACTTGAGAGCCTTGGCGCGCTCCCCACGTCATCTCACGCAGGAATCGGACAGTGCCTTTATGCAGCGCCTCTCCATCGAGGTGCCTCTCCTCAAGCTTCAGCGTGGGGCACGGCAGTGGTTGGAGCGCCATCAGCAGGATCATCCGTTTCCCTGTTATGCTGTTGCTGCGGTTTGTGCGCGCGCTCAGTGTGTCCTTGCAGAGCTATCTACGCTGCAGCCCAAACGGCACAGGTCTTCGGATCAACCGACTCAGGAGGGCTCGCAAGCCCCTGATGGGACTCAGGCCTCGCATGCAGCTGCCACTTTGGTTGAGCTGCCGTCCATGCAGTCAGTCTATGAATGTCAGGAGTGTGGACAAACCTTTCCCACATTACACTTGCTGAAAACACACGAAGGAAAACGTCACAAGCTGCTGGCGCCAGTTCGTCATTTTGATGCCACGGATCGGGCCTCATACTCCAAGGAGGGGTTGCCCATTTGCCGGTTCTGTGATGCCAAATTCACGAAATGGGGTAGTCTCCAGAGGCACCTGAAGAGAAATGGTTGCCCGGCACTTCGCAGGCAGGTTTCGCCGCCCAAGGAGCCCACTACTGTGACTTCTGCAAATTCTGAGGCTGACCGATCCGATGATGCTCCTTCAGTTACAGCTGCTCTGCCCTCAGTTCCCTCGGTGCCATCGGCTGCCTTATGTGGGGTGCAGGATTCTTCCGAACCTCAGCCGGGTCTGAATGCAGGTGCTCAACCGAAGACCTCGATCTGGCATAGCATGCCGCAGATTGGAACTGAGTCTCCGGATCGGCCTGTGATACAGTGGGCCAATGTGCTGGCTTTGCCTGCTCCTAGGCGATGGACCGATCTTGTAGCTGTGCCTGGTGTTGTGCAGAAATTGAAGCATCATTGCTCGATTTGCGGTCAGTGGCTAGCCACCTCAAACCAGATCAAACGGCACATTCGTCAGCAACATCCTGACATCATGCAAAGGCATGAGGCCATGCTCGTGCATGCAGGCAAGCAGTGGGCTCGATCGTGTGTTAGCCCGTGTTCCGTTTGTGGAGCGAGTATTGCGGACACGCGCCAACATGCAGGCAAGTGTGTTGTGATGCAACAAGCGTGTCTGATACAGTGCGAGCTCACGCATCGCTCAGGCGGAAGCAGCTCAGGCGTCAGCTCAGGCGTCCGTCCTATTCGGACATCTGCTACCGGCGGCCTCGAAGCTAGCGGAGATAGCGGACATGGATGCGGACCTCCCCAATGCCAAACGGCCCAGGGAGATTGCCAAGCCGGGAGCTCCCGGACCCAGGAAGGGGAATCCTCAGGGCGGCAAAGGCCGCGGTCGCGGTCACCGACAGTGGGGCCGGGGAGGAGGGCAGGGACCCAAGATCTCGGACGGTACTTCCTTGGAGGAATTGGTGCGCCTCATGGCGCAGGTTCTACTTCGGCAAGGAGATCAGTTACAGCGCCTGTCCTTAGACACCGGATTCTTCCTGATTCTTCAGACCCCTCCGCAACCAGGCTCGATCACCAACACGATGTTTCGGGTCACTTCGGCTTGGAAGAAGATGATGAAGGAAACCCCGGAAAAGCTCGACCGGCCTCTCCGCCAGCACATGATCGAATGCCTCTTCCTCGAGCTTGCGGCACGGGCTCAGTTGGTTCGGAAACCGGAGGCGAAAGCAGAGGCACAGCAACTGGGCATCATCAACGACAAAGGCGACTGGAACTACCGGATCTGGAACGCCACGAGCCAGCAGTTGGAAGTCGACCAAAAGCGAATGCCCCTGAAGGCGGACACGTTCCTGGAGCAGATCGACAAAGCCACGGCGATTGTGCGCCGACCGGATGTGATCACCCGCTTTCAGGCCATTGCCCCACTCTCGGAGACGACGGAGAACGCCAGCATTCCATTTCTGTTGGACCTCAGTCTGAGGGAGCAGGAGCTTCACAACATCATGTTGGAGTGGTGCGAGCTGGCGGTCTTCGAACTGCTAGCAGGGCGACTTCGTCGCGCAAGGCTCAAGCGTCCCGCGCAGCTGGAGAAACTTCAGGAGCTGTTGAATGCACTCTGAGTCGTGTGATCCTCAGAAACCCAGGAAATCAATGTTATGCGAATGCGGTTATCCTGGCACTGTCTAGGCTGCTTCAGCCCATCTGCTATGCTGGGCACAGGTTCGCATGCACCCACCTGGGGCAGGTGCTCAGATCTGTGCAAAATGCTAAAGTGTCGAAGGCCCTCACCCTGCGCAACTTGACTGCGTGGTCCAGCTTGGCAGATCAGTGGTCGGAGCCCTATCGGCAGCATGACGCAGCCGAGTTCTTGCAGCATGTTCTGAGTTCGGTCGACTCCGTCCTCGCTCTCAGTCCATGGGAGGCTTTTCCGGATGGGGATGATGGATCACTCACGCGTGATCGGGGCTCTGGCGTTGTCCTCATTCCCATGCGTAGACCAGATCAACAATTGCATCCGGACATCCAGGCCAGTGTGGACGACTGGCACCAGCAAAGGCACCTTCATGCGTTTCGCTCAGATGCCGAGTGGGTTGTACTTCAGCTTGACCGTTTTAAGGGTCGTGGGGTCTTTCAGGTTCGTGACAATGCCGCGCTGCCCATTCCGGGTCGCCTATGCTTGCCAGTGTGCACCTCTCGGCATGCCGTGCATCATCAGATTTATCACACCACAGCTGTGGTGTTGCACTATGGTGCTCAGGTGTCCTCGGGGCACTACCGTGTTTTACTGATGGGGCAGGGGTCGGGGAATGCCGGTGCAAGTGCTGTGCATTACATCACAGATGACGACCGTCAGGCTGTGCGTTGTGGAACATCCGAGCTTGAAAATTTGGCGTCCCGAAGCTACTTGCTCTTCATGCAACGTGCGACGCAGCCTGTCCTGTCGGGTGATGCGCTCCATGCCTGATGCCGCCTCTCTGTCTGTGCTTGCTCCAGGGTCAGTGGGTTTCATTAGTGTTTGCGTTTCTACATGTCGCGAGCGCTTGATGTGACTGGCCATGCATTGTCTTCAGTGTCACATGCGGCGGATGCCGTGATGACATGTGGTGCTGCTGGGCATTTGCACTCTCCTGGGCAAGCGCAGTGTGGTGAGACATGGCAGCGTGTACTTTTGGGCATGCCGGCTTCCTTGATTCTATCAGATGAGACTTTGGCGATGTACTTGGTCATTCGTGGTATACAGATATATATGATTCGTGATGCTGGTATCCGTATCTATTTTGAGCAGTTTCCGGAGGGCTTGGAGCATCGTCATGCCATCACTCGGCAGATACTTGAGGAACTTGAAGGTGCTGATATGTGGCACCAGCTTGCATTCTTTCGTTTGATGCTGGATGGAGATCATAAGGAAGATTTCTTCGAGATGGCATATACACTTATTCTACATCGCATGCGGGAGGACCCTCGGCCGTTCCACTTGCTTGTTCGCGAAAGTGAATACTCATGGGCCTGGGACGTTGCTCTGGCCTCTGATGAGGACAGACTGCTCTCCACTGCTTCGGATGTGGCTTCAGATGTTGCTCCAACTGAGCGGGATGTGGATTCCGATATATCTCATGATTCCTTCGACTCTTTTTCTTTATGACTCTGAGCTGTGAGGGTTGCTTAAGTGTAGGTAGGAGGTAGTGTTGTTGCCGCGGTTTCACATGTGAAGGCGACCACATTGTAGTTCCCACCTTTCCATAAGTGTCACAGCGAGGGTGACCGCTTGTGACCGCTTGTGCATCCCTGATCCCGTGTTCAGTGTCTCGACTTTGCTTTGGGCTGGTGACAGCCTCTTTGCTTTGTACAGCTTCTCTACCATTGCAGCTTGCTTGCAATCTTTTGCAACTTTCACGAATTTTAGCTGCACTGCAGCCGGAACGAAGTTCTGTTCGTGTCACGTAAGATGGATCCAACCTGTCTGCGCTTCAAAGTCAAAAAGTCACCGCAAGCAGGGCCCGTGACATCCAGTTTCCCGGCGCCCCACCTGTCCTCCGCAATGAGAGCCACCCCGAAGGGGTTCCTGATCTTTCGGAGATCCCTGCACTCAGAGTGCAAAAGGCTAACATGCTGTATAAGTTGACTCTTGAGCTAAGTTCTTTCTGTCTTCTGAACGGCAAATATTTTTCCTGTGAAAATCCGAGACGCAGTTACCTTTGGCTGCTTCCTCAGTGCTCGGACGTCTTTCAAACTGTTTTTCATCACTGTGAGTTTGGTGGCATGCGTCGCAAAGAGACGCTCCTGGTGCATAACATCCCCAAATTCCGCGAGCTTCATCGTTTGTGCTCTGGCAAGCATGTGCATCTGGGATGGGGCCGGGTCGGCCGTGCGTGGGCAACAAGCGCTGAGACGGCCTACCCCTGGGGCTTCTGCAAATGCATGGCGAGCTTGCTGAAAGATCACTTTTTGGAACTTGGCTGTCGCCAATCTCCCAAAGCTATTGATGATGGCGCGCCCATCATCCAAGGCGCTCGTGCCTTCACTGGAGCCCAAACTCGCAAGCGCGTGCCTCCGCTGCTTAGCGAATTCGCTTCGGTTCACACTGTCACTGTGCCGTCCAATCTTGCCGCTTCTTTCTTGCGCCCTGGCCAGAAGCTTCCGTCTCCGTGGAAGCCCGGAGATGCTGCTGCTTGTTCTCCGCCAATCGAGTGCTTTCCGGCAGGTAGCCGTGTCCTTCGTGCCCATGTGGTGCGCAAGGGGATTGAGGTTGGCCCTAGTCCCACGGCTGTTTCCCCTGGTTCCGGTTTAGTCCCTGCTGCCCCTCGTGTGTTAGGTGCTGAGGGTTTTGAGCCGGATAGTGTGCTGAATCCTCCTAGCAGAAAGCGTCATTTTGCTAATGTTCTTGGATGTCCTGAGGCGTCTCTCGGACTGAATCCTGACGATACCGAGGTTCGAGAAGCCATGATGTCGGGCTCTGCTGAGCGGGTGGCTTCGCTTATAAACAAGTTGCCTAAGGTACACCGCAAAGACTTGTCCCTGTTGCTTGACTTGCTTCCTTCAGAACCTCTTCGCTGGGATGGCGATGCTGGAGCGAAATCGTTCCAAGGTGGCAGCTTTGTTCACGGCCCGATGTGCGGGGTGCGATCAACGACCAAACAGTTCCCGGAAACTGTGAAAGCAATGTGCTCTTATGTCAAGGGCCTTTTTCCAGGTTTGGAGTTCGGAACTGTTGGGATGTTCAGGGATGTGTCAGCTCAACCACATCGGGACTCGAATAATGAAGTCTCCACAGACAATGCAATTGCTGCGCTATCAGATTTTTCTGATGGCTCCCTGTGGATGGAAGATCCTGCGGGTGACGTCGAGCTTGAAATCAAAGGTCGCACAGTGAGAGGTGTTTGCATCCCCGTCACTCATGAAGGCTTCAGGTTCGATGGCCGTCGCCTTCATTGCACCAGCCCTTGGACAGGCCGGCGTGACGTTATTGTTGCGTACATGCCGAGGGGGCCTAAGAACCTTAAAGCTGAGCACGCCTCTTTCTTGACGAGCCTGGGATTTGTGCTTGATCGAGCGACCTCGGGGTCCCAAGTCTCGCCTGGGGACGTGACTAAGGCTGTCATTGGTGTGTACCGCACACCATCACAGTTTGTTGAACAGGCAATCAAGGTTGGGCACCCCACGCAGCTCTCCGCCCTCATGCCCTCCGAGATCTCCTGTGCCGTCCGGAGAATCCATAAAGAAGGTGAGGCCAATGTGGCCAAGGAGCGCACCGCAACACTTCGCCGGTGGGTTAGCAGAGCAGCCGATTTAGAGCCAGCCGAGCGCGCGCTAAAGGCTGGTCTTCCTCAGTTTCGAAAGGATGTTCTTAGTCCTAAACGCTCGCTCTTTTCGAGGAGCTGTTGCTTGAAGTGGGACATGAGGACGTTGACCTTGTCAAAGACATTGCTCATGGGTTTGACTTGACGGGCAAGCTGCCTAGATCGAATGTTTTCGCTAAACGCTTTCGTCCTGCGGAGCAGAGTGAATCTCAGCTTCGATCCAGCGCTAAGAGACTGCGTGATGGTCTTCTGGCCACGATCAAAGCTTCGGAGGATCCTGTGATTGACCAGGGTGTTCTTAAAGCGACGATGAAAGAACTTGAGCGCGGCTTCGTTGATGGACCTTTGTCTCCAGACCAGATCCCTGAAGATGCGTCCTTGACGCATCGTTTCGGAGTCATTCAAGGGAGCAATGAAGAAGGTCCAAAGGTGAGGCCCATAGATAATTACCTGTCTTCTCAAGTAAATGCTGCAGTCACGCAGGTTGAGCAAGTCAGCGTGCACACCATTGACGTGGTGGCCGGGATGCTGGCCTGCTGGTTGAATGAGTGGTTCATCAGCGGGCGCCCAGAGCACAGCACGCCAGTGTGCAAGGCGTGGGATCTGCGTACCGCCTATAAACAACTCCCCCTTTCGGATTTGGCTTATGCCTTAGATAGTTTCTTTGTGCTCTTCAACATTGAGCGTGGGGCGAGCGAAATCTATCGCCAGCGAGTGCTTCCCTTCGGCTCAACGGCCAGTGTGACCAGCTTCATAAGAACGGCTTACGCCATTTGGAAATTAGGTGCCGTAGGGTTGACTCTTGTCTGGAGTGAATATTTTGACGACTACTTGAACCTTTGCGGCAAAGCCTTTGCTCGGCATAACGACTTTGTAATCTCCATGTTCTTCCAACTGCTGGGGTGGGAGATCTCGAAGGACAAGGAGCTCAACTACGATGCACTTTGCGTCGTCCTAGGAGTGCAAGTGAACCTTCGTGATGCCAAGCTCGGTTTGGCTTACTTGGAGAACACCGTGAAGAGGCGGACTGAGGCGTTGTGTGACATTGAGCGGGCTTTGGCAACGGGGAAGCTTGAACCTAAAGAAAGTGAAAAGCTAAGGGGTCGGTTGCAGTTCGCCTGTTGCCAAATTTTTGGTCGGCGACCAAAGGCGGCTCTGAAGTTGTTGTCGCAGCACTCCAGGCAACGCAGATGGGACGTTAACCAACTCACGCGGCTCGCACTCACTCAGCTGAAAAGTTTCTTTGAAAGTTCCAGGCCACGTCCAGTCAGGGCGCGACGTGAAGACTTTGTCCATGTGTATGTGGATGCTTCTTTCGAGCCAAACGGCCATTGTGGTTTGGGGGGAGTAGTCTTCAACTCTTCTGGTGAGGCGTTGTGCTGGTTTGGTCAAGCTGTTTCGCCAGTACATGTGCAGAAGCTTTTGAAAGCTGGTGACCGCGAAAGAGAGACAGTGATTTTCGAGCTCGAGGCGCTTGTGCTCAGCATTTTTGTTTTGAGGCCTTTCGCCCTTACGTCGAGAGGAAAGGTGTGGTCATTTTCACTGACAATGAGGGCGTGTTCGGAAGCTTCGTCAGAGGCCATAGTGACAATGCTTCTTGTGCTGCCTTGATCGACTTCTTTGCTTGCTGCGAAGAGAGCCTTGAAACGATTTGCTGGCTAGATCTTGTGCCATCCTCTTCCAATCCTGCCGACGACCCCTCGCGTGGCGTCAGTATCCGAGGTGCACCACGTGTCGATCTTGATGTGAATCTCTTGAGTCGCGCGCTTCCTGAAGTCTTTGGGTGAATGGGGTACATGTTCTCAGGGGGAAGCGGGATGTACCGCATTCACTTGGGATGTCCAAGAGTTTTTCCCTAGCTGAGATCATCGACGGATTCCCCATGCCACCTACGAGGAAAAGTCTTGTGCTGTCGAGTGAGTGCGTTGCGATTTCTTGAGATATGCAATTATGATTAACATACAGATTGGAGAAGTTTTGTTTTCCTGATAAACATTTCTCCTTATGATTCGATTGATGCCAGCTGATTGAATTATAGTTTTCCGTATGGCATCCATGCATTGTTCAGGTCCACGCGGTAACTTTACACAAGTGAAAATAAGCCACCATCGCAGCTTGCCTGCGTACGGTATTATTTTCACGTGGAAAGTTTGATTTTGAAATCTTATTTCAAAATCAACGCTTGGAGTTTTCAAATGTCTCTTACATGTTAGTATGCAACTGTTGAGCCATGCGAAGATGCGAAATTCCAGTTGCCGTTGTGCTCTGAGGTAGAGCGCAATTTTTGTTTTCTCCCACCCACCCACCCGGGGGGAAGCGGGATGTACCGCATTCACTTGGGATGTCCAAGAGTTTTTCCCTAGCTGAGATCATCGACGGATTCCCCATGCCACCTACGAGGAAAAGTCTTGTGCTGTCGAGTGAGTGCGTTGCGATTTCTTGAGATATGCAATTATGATTAACATACAGATTGGAGAAGTTTTGTTTTCCTGATAAACATTTCTCCTTATGATTCGATTGATGCCAGCTGATTGAATTATAGTTTTCCGTATGGCATCCATGCATTGTTCAGGTCCACGCGGTAACTTTACACAAGTGAAAATAAAGTCTTCTTCTCATCATGCATGAAAATCTGGTGTTTTAGCATGTCACGACATGTGCCCGGGACTTCATACTCCCAATCACCACTAGCCTTTTTGAATTCGAGCACGGATCGGGGTGCAGATTTGTCAACGACCACAACGGGTGGAACTAGACAACAGCAGTACATGTTACATACACAGCTCTCTAAGTAACATGTTACCTAGGTTTGCCTGCACACTGTTACTTAAGACTAAGTTTCCTCGTGCACTGTTACTTAAAAACATTAGAGACCATGTTGCCTCTTGTCGGGCCAGCAGCAAGCTGCCTATGTTGACAGGAGCATGTTACCTAGTTTTGTATTCAGCACCATAGCTCGAAAGCCGAAGCAAGATTTCACCTAGTTATGGTTTTGAGCACGATATTCCAGATTATTGGAAAACTCTGATGCACAGTTCTCTTTTCCAGGCGAAAGTCCTCGGATCGGTTTCGAAACACCAGAAATCACAGGCCGGAAACCAGACGAATCAAGGGCAGCAGGAAGAAAACAGCACAGAAAAAGCTCCAGGGATAGCAAACTCACACAAAAGTGACACAAAAGTGACACAAAAGTGACACAAAAGTGACACAAAAGTGACACTAAAGTGACACTAAAGTGACACTAAAGTGACACTAAAGTAACACTCCCACAGCAAAAGTAACACTAAAGTAACAATTCCATGGGTTAGTTTTACCAAACTAACATAACAATAGTACATATCGGTTGTGTTACTTTTGTGTTAGTTTTGCCTTTGAACTGTTAGTTTAGTGTCAGTTTAGTGTCAGTTTTGTGTCAGTTTAGTGTCACTTTTGTGTCACTTTTGTGTCAGTTTTGTGTCACTTTTGTGTCGGTTTGGTGTTTTGGGGATGTGATGTCGTCGGTTTTCGTCTGGCACAGGTGAGTCCAACGGCTTGACTCTGCCGTTGGACTCGTCTCATTCACGTGAAACCCAGGGGAGGTGGTACCCGACGACTCCCGACGACTCCCTGTAATGGTGTTATTTTGTTTAATTTTTGTGCTGGTTCGGCTCGTGTTGGGCTTGGGTTTTCCTGCTTTGGTCTGTGCCTGCCGGCGGTTTTCATGCTTTCTGCAAAACGAGAAAACTCCTATCTCGATGGAATGAGTACATCACTTCTTGTTCTGTTTTAGTGCAACAGAGGGATGTTACGTAACCGTTGGGGGGGCTTGGTGTCACTGTTCCTAAGTGGGGGCGGAGTGGGGGGTTTGTGTCAATGTTACTTAGCAGCTCGTGGCCCTAGGGGGGAGGGGGCTTCTGTCAATGATACTTAGCAGCTCGCGGCGCTTTTTTTTGGGGGGGGCGGGGGTGGGGTGGCATATGTGAATGTTACTTAGCAGCTCCTGACCCTACCCGACAATGTCTTTCAATGTTACTTAGCAGCTCGTGACCCTATCTGACAATGTTACTTAGCATCTACTGCTGTGTGCTTATGATTGTAGTCTAGGGTGCAGAGTGCGGTTGCTGGCTTAGGTTTTGGGGGATGGGTTTCAGGGTTTCGCTTTAAAGGCAAGCAGAGCCTGAACACATGTGTCTTCGAATGCGACTGTGAAAGTGGCTTCGTAAGTTAAACAAACAGAAATATTCCAGAAGGCCCAACAGAAACATGTTACGTCGCCGCTTCTGCTGGGGGACTTGGTGTCCATGTTACTTAGCGGCTCTTGCCTTTAGCTGGGGCTTTGTGTCCTCGATACTTAGCAGGTCCGAAAAGAAACATGTTACGTAGCAGCTTGGGGGGGGGTCTATTGCTGTCCATGTTACTTAGCAGCTCCTGGGCCTGTGGAGTGGTTCCTGTTCATGCTACTTCGGCACTGGGACCCTCAAAGAGACAATGTTACTTACGATGTAGGACACACACGGTTTACGCATATTCTGCCCTCTGCTTAGTTTGCAAGCTATATGCATGAACCCACGGAATCATTGTTATTCCCGACTCAAGACTGTGGAAGAAACACTGAAGAACCCACACTCTGCTATCATGTTACCTGGTCCATGTTACTTAGAGACGGAGTCTGGGTTTAGGGTTCAGGGTATTGGGTTCGGTGTTCTCGATTTGGGTTTAGGCTTGAGGCTTCAGGGTTCGGGGTTTAGGGCAAGAGGATTTAGGCTGGAGGCCTTCAGGTTTCAAACCTTTAGAAATTCCCGACTCTGAAAGAACTCGCTGCCGCCTGTTTGCACCGACCGCGATCTCACTGCGGCCGCTTCTCCCCCGGCGGCTGGGGCAAGCTCCTTCGCCGCTTCTCAGAAGGCACCGGCTCCTGAGCTGCGGCATTTTATTGTAGAACCCCGGGGCTGTCTTTATTCTCAAATCAGGCTGGCTTCCTGTCTAAACCTGGGATGTATTGCTGCCTGGAATCCAGAGTGCTTGGCGGAGATCGCCGGCGAGGATCGCGAGGACGAGTGATCCTCGCAGGCGATTAGTACTTGGTCTTCTAGAGGCCGGGAAATCGTGAGGAGTCCCTCAAATCCAAGAGTGCAAAGAGGTTCTTGGGGAGTTTGCTCATGGCCACAACCCAATACCGGCCTGCTGATGGCCTCCACCTCCACGGACGGAGGCCTTTCCTCCTCCTCCTCCTCTTTGGCCGCCCTGGGCCTGGGACGATATTTCGAAAACTCAGCAATGTTACTTAGAGGGGGCAGCAGGGCCCAGCGACAATGCTACTTAGAATGTTACTTAGAAACTGAGCAATGTTACTTAGTGGGGGCAGCAGCTCCTAGCGAATGTTACTTAGAAACTCGGTAATGTTACTTAGAGGGGGCAGCAGGGCCCAGCGACAATGCTACTTAGAATGTTACTTAGAAACGGAGCAATGTTACTTAGAGGGGGCAGCAGGGCACAGCGAGAATGCTACTTAGAATGTGACTTATAGAAACTCAGCAATGTTACTTAGAGGGGGCAACAGGTCTTAGTGACAATGCTACTTGGAATGTTACTTAGAATCTCAGCAATGTTACTTAGACGGGGCAACAGGGCCTAGCGACAATGCTACTTAGAATGTTTCTTGGAAACAGAAACACGGCCTGAGGCTAGGAACCAATGTGACTTAGAATGTTAGTTAGGCAGCTCTATGTGAGGAGCGACATCAATGTTACTCATCCTCGAGGAAGCAGCAAAACCGTAATTCCTGCCATGTGGCTGTGGAGCCGCAGCTGACGAAGATGCCTCCTCCACCTCCTCCAGCCGTGCAGGCGAAACTGGCGAGCTGTGCCTTGGATGCGGGTGTTTTAAGGTTTAAAGTCTCTTCCTTACCAACATCCTCATAAGTACACCAGAACAAAAAAAGATACTTCTTTCTGTCTTGTGTCTCCGGGATGATGGTCTTGTTGTCATCCTCCTCCTCTGTCGTGTCCCCAGCAACTGTTGGCGAAGCCGGCGGAGCCGGCGGCTCTGCTGGAGCCTCTGCTCCCGAGGTCTCTGATTTTATTGGTAGGTGTGTTTTAATAACCCAAAAGAAACATCTGTGCCCATGCTTATAGACGGAAAGAAAACCTGCTTTGAGCACAGCGGCTTCCATCTCCAGTTGCCACTGCCCGCCAGACAAACCCAGGAGGCAACTGGATAGGCGGCGGCGCCAAAGGCGGAAAAACAGGTGCTGCTGGCGGAAATGCAGGTGCTGCTGGCGTTGGCGGAAAAGCAGGTGCTGCTGGCATTGGCGGAAAACCAGGAAAGGGCACTCCAAGCCCGGCCGCTCCAGGGCCCATTGTACCAGGCACCAAAGGCACTCCAAGCCCGGCCGCTCCAGGGCCCATTGTACCAGGCACCAAAGGCACTCCAAGCCCGGCAGCTCCAGGGCCCATTGAACCAGGCAAAGGCACTCCAGGCCACATTGTACCAGGCAAAGGCACTCCAGACCCCATTGTACCAGCAAAAAGCCTTCCAGCTCCAACACCCATTGCGGCCGCTCCAGGGCGCAATGGGACGTTCGCACCCGCCACTCTCCACGGTGGCACTGCCTGCGGCATCTTCGGAGTGGAGCCATCATCAAAGCCCGGTTCCTGCTGCTGCCCCCGCTGCTCTGCTGCTGCTGCTGGCGGTTGCTGCTGCGGTTGCTGTGCTGTTGGTGCAGGCACCTGGTGCTGCTGCGGCTGCTCTGCTGTTGCAGGCTGCCGCTGCTCTGCAGCTGCAGGCTGCCGCTGCTGCTGCGGCTGCTCTGCTGCTGCTGCCGGCTGCTGTGCTGCTGCTGCTTTGGGTTGTGGCCGCTGCTGTTTTCGCGACACTCTGTGTCCCTTGTAGCTAAGGGGGGCCAGCTCCAAAGCTGTGTCCCGTGCTGCCGTGGTGTTGTAGTGTAGTACCACGGCAGACAGGGTAGCTTCAGCACCACGTGTCGGCAGCCACTGTACGTTTTGCGGACGAGGAGCCCCAGCCTTGTCTAGCCATTCTAGCAGGCCGGCGGTTGTTGTCCACCATGGCAGCCCGCCCAGCCACAAGCCAGTAGTGCTCATGGCTTTGTTTCTTGTGTTGTCTTGTCTGTGCTGTCTGTGCTGTGTTTGCTCTGTGCTGTGCTTGCTGTGTGCTGTGTGCTCTGTGCTGTGTGCTGTGTGTGTGCACGTGTGTGTTGTGGCTGTGCCTCTAAGCTGTGCCGTCGTGCTGTGTGGCTGCTCACAGAGTGTCTGCTCTCAAGAGTGCTTCTGCTTCTCTACTCTGTGGAGCCGGTCTGCCGGGGACCACAATTTCACTCTCGCACTCTGCTGCATGCTGCATGTCCAGACTGGCATGTTACCTAGTTGCAAGGCGAGCAATGTTACTTAGAGGGGCAAGACATGTAGTCGGCCAATGTTACTTAGAGGGGGTGAAGGACTGCGACGTTGCCAAAATGTTACCTAGAGGGGGAAGAGGCATGTTACCTAGTCTTGCTTTGGCTCTTGGTTTGATGGCGACAACATGTTACCTAGTTGACCAATGTTACTTAGAGGGGGTCAAGGACTGTGGGATTGCCAATGTTACCTAGAGGGGGAAAAGGCATGTTACATAGTCTCTCGTTTCACGGTGAAAAACATGTTACCTTGTTTCCGGTGCTTTTGAAAAACCAAAACACATTCTACCGGTACCTATAACGTCTCAGGCCCTTGTTCTTTCCCCATGCTTTGCCAAGGTTTCTTTTCAGTAGAAAACATCAGTCACTTCTGGGGTTTGGGGTCGCTGGTGAAAACCAAAACACATTCTATCGGTATTTAACGTCTCAGGCCCTAGTTTGTTTGTCCTAAGTTTGGCGGAAGTTTTTTTTTGGAGTAGAAAACATCAATCACTTCTGGGGTTTGGGGTCTTCTTGGACTGGCTTTTTTTCTCGTGCGAGGTCGCGGCCTGGCTATGTGGTCAATATAGAAAGCCCTAGTCCATCTGATCCAAGAACGGAATCGGCTCCCTTGTATCTGGTGCACATTCTTCAGCTGACCCTCCACAGCATTAAAGGCGAAGCCATCAAGCTGGCCAGCCCACAATGGACTACCTGCGACAGGTAGCCCATGGTGGGCTGGCCAGCTTGGTCCTTTCGCCTTTCTCCATTCTTCGCAGCCGCATGCAGAACCAGCCTCAGGCTCCAGCAGCAGCACAACCGGCTGGCAGTAAGTTGCAGAATCAGTGATTCTGCAACTTACTGCCAGCCGTTTGGATCCAGGAGCAGCACAACCGGCTGGCAGTAAGTTGCAGAATCAGTGATTCTGCAACTTACCGCCAGCCGTTTGGAATCAGCACTGGAACAGCCTGCCAGCAAGCCAAGCCAAGAAGCAGCTTGGGCCGCCACAGCTTCATGCCTCCCACCATCTCCTTGTGCCCTTTGAGCCACCAAAGCTTCATGCCTCCTGCGGCACCTGCTGGAATGGATAGAGCTATTCTGGCAACAAGCAGAACAGCAATAGCTAAATGGACCTGTCACCAAGAGCTCGCAACCTGGCCGGGCACAAACTCGGATAGTGGCCATAATCTCTGGATGCGACCTGTTGCATCATTTGGAATGCGATCCGACGAATACCTCGTTGCACTGGCCGCAGCAAAGGCCATGTTTGCCACCGGCCCGCCGATTGCAACCTTTCGTTGCACACAATGCCATAGATGGCTCTCGCTCACCGGTTTGCAGGCAAACTGGAACAATGCTTGTGACTTGAAAAAAAATTATCTGTGGTCGATGGCAAAAACCTTCACTGCAACACTCGTGCTATTTAACCATGCATAGAGCCTCCGTACTACAGGAACAAAAGGCACGGCTGAGCAAAGCTTCCTAGCAGGCCGCCACTCTTCCTGGATGCCATGCAGACATGCAGATGTGACTTAGCCTTCCAAAAAAATCGCTGCCAAACAATGCTACTTAGACAGTCGAGAGCTGCAACAATGCCGACCATATTTTGCTTTCGCTGGAACCTCGTCAGCCTCCGTGCCGCGAAAACTGTGCTGAGATCTAGGAGCCATGCTCAGTGATGATACCGGCATCTATCTTGGATGCAACCTCTGCCATGGCAGCTCTGGCCTTCTTCTTCGCAGTCTGCGGGGAGTCGCCCAACCTGAGCCTCAGTGTGTGCTCCTTATGGTAGACAGCGGAGGTCTTTCGTTTCTTGAAACTGCACTTGTAAGCGCCCTTCGCGCTCGCCTGCTTCATGATGTCCAGATCTCCAGCATCCAAGCCATACGAGGCAGCTTCTGACACCAAAGGCTTCACCAGAGCCTCTGCCTTTGGGGCCACCTTCCTGACCGGCCTGCTAGAGCTGGAGGCAGCAGCTTGTGAAGCACCTTCCTCGCTGGAGCTGCTTCCCAAATCTCCAACCATCAAAGGCCTCCCGAACACCGTGGGGTCCTCAGCCGCCCTCGCAGAAGCTTTCGGACTGCAGATCTTCGCGGCTCCCCTCCAAATCTTGACGGGACTTCCAGGCCCCATCACCAGGCTAGCTTTCTTCAAGGGCCGTGGGCTGCTATCCTGCTTCGCCAAGATTCTTCCAAAAATGCCCTCGCTCCGCATCTCTGGAGGTCTATAAGGAACTATCTCCAGACCAGTCGCTTGGCCGCTGGAGCTTGCCCCAACCGTGTTCTCCTTCTCGGAGAACACATGAGACAACACCATGTCGATCCTTGCCTTTTCCGACTCCGTGGCTGTCCGCACTGCTCTCACGTACTCGTCCTGCTTCTTCAAACACCGGACTTGGCTTAGCAGGATGCGAATTCTGCTGTCGATCTGGTCCACGAAATCATCTGTAGCATAGTTCGTGCGGTTCACTTTCTTGGTTTTCTCCGTACACGCAACCACCAACCGCTTCAAACTCGTGCGAAGCTTCGCCGCAGGCAGAACGCAGTTCGGGGCTACCTGGAGGAAATCTACGAGGAGATAGGCTGCCTGAGCGATCCACGGAATACATACCGCCGTCTTCCAAGAGAAGGGAGCACCGGTGGGATGCTTCAGAATATTCCAAATATCCTTGTCTTGGGCATTGTCCACATGCTTCTTCAAAACCTTTTGCAGATCAATGACGCCTATCGTCGGATCCACTTTCACTCGGGTGGTTTCATACTTTGACTGCGCCATGCTGCAGCAGGGCTCTAGAAAATCTCTACATAGACATGAGTCGCATGAGTTTCAAGCCCACATGTGCCCACACAGTTTTCCTATTGTCTGCTCGCAAGATTCTTCTGGCACCATGCCATACCTGTGCTTCTTGCTATGTTTTCAGCCTGCAATCCGCAACGGAACAACATTCAAGTCTGCCATGCTGCACACAAATCATAAAAACCTGACAGGGGACATGCTACTTAGATGTCGCAAATGTTACTTAGGTCTTGCAAAACATGCCAGCAATCCTGCACATGTTACCTAGGTTCTGGAGAAAAAAAAGAGTTCCGCACAACAAATGCTACTTAGGGTGCCTGCTCCTGCTAACAAAAAAAATATCATAGTTTATTCTTTCAAATAACCTTTGGAACTCATAGTCTATTCTTTCAAATAACCTTTTCTCTTAGGTTATTTAAATAACCTATCTCCTGAGATATAGGTTATTCTATTCTGACTATTAGTCTATTTTTTGGGATATGGATAATAGTCAGGAAATAACCTAACCGAATCTAAGAGGCAGGCTTAGATGCTATGAAGAGAATCAGGCGGTCAACCTACCCTTGCCTGCACCGGTGCAAACATCTCTCGGTGAGCTGTCGCTCGAGCGGGTTGTGGATTTTCTGCACTTTCATGTCTACAGCCAGAGCGCTGCGCTTGAGGATACTGGGCAGGAGAACCGGCGGATGTCGCACCAGGACACCACCCGACGCTTCGCCCAGGCGCTGCCGGTTGTGCTGAAGGTGGAAGACTGTCTCAGCTTTGGCACATACGTGCTTGGCTTATCGTGTCACCGTGTCCCAATGGCTTTACACCAACGGAGACCACTGGCTGGTTCTCGCATCGCCAAAGCGGTAACCGGCCGCCCTCCGAGGGTTGTCTTCTGCGGTTGGAGTTTCGACAAGGGCAACTCCTGGCAGTCTTTGTTGAACTGGTAGTCCCTGACCGGCTCCGTGGAAAAACCCGCGAACAACGCAAGATCGAGCGACGCCAAAACCGCCTTAACCCCACGGCTGCCCTCCTGCTCATCCGCCAGTGGTCTTCTTTTCTTGGGGCCCCCCCGCAGCCTGATCACGTTTGCAGCTGGGATTTTCCCTTCGCAGTTTGTCGTGCATTAAAGTAGGGGGGGCTCTAGATGTATTTCTGCAAGTGCTTAAAATGCCTGAGGCGCGTGTTCCCCTGGCCATTGGCATGCCCATCCGACCATGCACCCAGCCTGCGCCGAGGCCTCGGTGCCATTTCGCTTCTGAGGTGCACCTTGTGTTGTCGTTCCTACAAGCGGTGGAGGCGGCTGCCCGCGCCCCTCACTTTCCAGCTGCCCCAAACTTCAAGCCGGCCGAGTTTGTAGCGCTCAAGAAGCGCATCCTTGCCCTTCATCCAGTGGCTAAACGCAGCAATCCTCGGGATCCTTTCTGCAAGCACTGGCGCTTGCCTGCGACATTGATCCCAGCTGAGTTGCACACCTTGGCCGCCCTAATGGGACAAACATTTTGCCGCCACATCGACGAGTTACTCAACAGTCCGGATGGACTCCTGTGTGGACACATATCGGCCATCCTGGCCGCCCGGGCACAAGGACGCAGCTCGCTTAGCATCTTGGGGTGCGCGGGATCTTCCAAAACTTTCTCCCTGTGGTGCGCCTTGGTCTGCATGGACGCTGTGTTGGAGCAAACTGTGTTTTGGACAGCACAGCAGCATTCAGCGCTCATCGCGGTCGTGCGTATCGCCTCCATGCCGATGCCCCAGAATGGCTGCGCCCGCTCGTTGTTGTGCGGAGGGTCTCTGGCGATGCTGAAATGATCGACCCGTCCTTTGACCATGTGCCCTTCACTGAGGCTGCTGAGCACCAGGCGGCAGGGCTTGGGGACATTGCCACGGCTCAGCCAGGAGTAACGGGGCGCAGTGCACGTCTTGCCTCCCCTTCAGTCAGTATAGTGCTCACATGCTGCTGCTCACGCAGGGGTCGGCCGCGCTGCAGCTGCGATATGCCTCCTACAGTGAGGTTAAGACTTTCCTCAACAACGCGCATGTCATCGTGATTGATGAGGGGCAACACGAAAGACAGCCTGCATCGGCTGCCATCCTTGCTAATGCAGCTGGCCAGCTTGTCATTCGCACAGGCGACCCACGACAACCTGCTGGAGGCGGCAAAGGTGAGGTTCAACTGCGCACGTTGGCCCGACTCATCGCCAAGCCCGTTGGCATCCGTGGAGTCGCCCAGCTGGCCCCGCAGCCAGTGTCTCCGGGGCGACTCGCCGCGGCACTTCGAGGCTTGGTGCAGTCTACCCCGCTGGGACCACTTCACACAGTCAGGTGGACTAGCCTTGGGCATCGCCACAATGGCCATCAGCGCGATGAGCCGCCGCCGGGCACCAGTCTCACCGTATGCCGGGAGTTGTCGGAATGCCTCTTTGGACTTGAGGACGAAGTTGAGGTAAGTCTTGACTTGGATCTTCGGGAGCTCCGTGGATGTCGGGTAACCCGACAAGGGCTGAAATACTTCATCCCTTATTCCGGCATCACCAAAATAGGCGATCGTGTGTGTCCACACCCCGGCCGCCTCACGCCAGCGGCTATTGCGGTGGATTTCCTCCACCAGTCAGCGTCCCATAGTGAAGCGATCCTGTGTTACCTCAACCGTCTGTCGGCCGTCGGCGCAATACTTGCACCGGCCAATACAGCTATGCAAGCTGAAGGCCTAGCCCCTATTAATGGGGTTTGCTTGAACTTGGCCCTGGTTGCCTCCACCAGGCTGCTGGCCGATCTTTATCTGCTTATTACTGCCGTCAGGTACCCACAATCCATTGTCATGCACAAGGCCTCTGACGCCTCTACCATCGGCGAACTGGCAGCGGATACCGCTGCACGGCGACTTCAGCGAGTTGCGGCGGATGGCTCCCATCAGCCGGGAGTGTACTTTATCCGACTACCGAAGCAGACATCCTCGGCCATGCACCAGGGAGGCCTCGTGGAATTGCTCTGTGTCCTTCTGGTCCTCGCTTACAATGTCTGCGGACATCGTTTTGCTGTCCAGGCCGGAAGGAAAATCGTCACACCAACCACTAGGGTTTTTGACTCTCTCAAGCATGGTCTTGGCCTCAGCAATGCGCGCCCCGCCAACGCCGACACAGGTGACGCGCACAGGGTCGTGGCTGAGGGCACCTCCTTTGCGGAGTTCATTTCGGAATGGTTGCCAGAGCTCCCTCCTCCGGGGCAACTAACCACCCAGGAGCAGGCCGCATCCCTCTTTACCTTCTTTTATGACCATCACAACGAACTCGGCGCCTTCGTTGACCTCTTCACCACCACAGTGTGTGCTGGCACCACCGGGGCCGTCGACATTTGTATTGTCGACAGGGCGGGGCGCTTTACCATGTCGGGGGAAGACGCCCACCAACGGCTCACGGCAGGCAGTACACGGCGCACGGGCCCATTGATCATCGCCTCCCCCTCCCATTGGTGGGGCATTGTCGCTGCATTGGAGCTCCATGCCGTCCTCCATCACACCCACGTCCGATGGGAAGATCTGTACCGAACTTATGGGCTCGCCAGGCTTGGACTATCAAGCCCCCCGCGCGCGGATAGGGAGACCGGTCTCCATCGCCTTCGTGAGCACAAAGGCGAGGGTGTGCCTCCCCCCAAAAGGCTATACAGTGCACTCCGCTCCACTCACCACAGGTCTCTCATCGGGACACACATGACTTTCGCGACCCCAGCGACCGTGTGCCGGGGCCAAGCCAGCACATCGGAGTCGATGGTCACCGCCGTTCCGGGGGCGTTTTACCTTTAATTTGCCATTGCCTCCGACACGCTCAATACGACGCTGCTTGGGAGGTTGCAGCGCTTCGTGTCGTCGCAGGTACACCATTCTTGCCCTGAAACGGTCTTGCTGCCGCCGGTTGCTACTACGGGCCTGCCACGCGCCCTTTATGATCCGGCGGGAAAGGTCCGCCCGGACCCGGACACAGGAGTGCCTGCCAAAGAGGATCCGGCGCTGACGCTGACTGCAGAGCTGCGCAGTCAAAGCTGTGCTGTCTCCCTACCCGTTGCACCTAGCGCTACATGGAGCCAACGTGTGGCGGCCCTGTTGGACGCAGTGGAGACCCCGCCTTGTCGCCTTGTGCCGGGAGTTTCTTCAATTGCCAGCCGGTGTGTACCGGCAGAAGACGAGGACGAATTCGACGAGCAGCATGACACCCTTCGGCGCTACCAAGCTCGGGGCCGACTACAGCAGTCTGTCGATGGAATAGAATGTGCCGGGGCACTGCAACAATTGCTGCCCAACCCCACCGATTGCCTGACCCTGCTTTCTCTCCCTTGTCTCTGCCTGCTTGTGAAGTCAAACTCAGCCCTCAGAATTTTGGGGTGAAGGTGGTGGATTTCGCCGACCGGGCCCTTATGTTGCGACGTTGCACTGATAGTGAAGCCTTTCGCGTCTGTCTGACGCCCCTGCTTGCCGTGTCTGTCGCATTGGCTCAGTTCTGTGACCCAGTTCTGCGCCTGCCTGAAGGACAGGTTTTCGACCTTTCCTGGTATGAACTTGCTCGCCCTGAGATTTGGTGGTGGCTGCTCCTTGATGAGCTTGCTGGACTCAAGGGATCGCTTCCCCGTGCTCTGGCGGGACGGAAGTCCCCAGTCCGGGACGGCAGCTTGGTGCAAATGTCCTTGGCTCCTAAGCGAGACCCCGCAGCCAAGCAAGAACCATTGCCGACAAATAGCCGGCGGGGCGTTGGTTCTAGCCAGCGGCGCACTACTGGGGGAGGCAGCACGAGTGTTGAGGCGACACAGGGAACGCCACTGCTGCACTGCGGTGTGTTGCTGCCAGTACAGCTGCTGTTCTATCTCACCCGGGCGCTAGCTGACGACCCTACGGCCGCTCCACTTCTGCAGCTCACCAACGTTACCCCAACCCGTGACGGCCAGCACATTGAGGTGCGAGTCACATGCAAGGTTCCGGCTGCCTTAGTGGGCCGTCCCCA